TCCTTTTCTGGACGGTGTTGACACCCGCCCAGTGCCGTCGTGGAGTTCAAGGCGGAAGGAAGGTGTGTCCCCCTGTGTGCTTGCCCGTTGTCTGTCGGCCCGTTTGTTGAGTGTCTGTTTCTCCATCCAGCCATCAGCCTGACCATCCCTCTAGTTTTTCGTGTCAGTTGTCAGGGCTTTCTGCCTGCCTCCAGGGTAACCCGGCCAGCTCCCAGCTGGCCCCTGACTGGGGTGGCCAGGGCCCTGGGGACCCAGCCTGTGTCCCAGCAGGTGGGTGAGGCTAAGGGCCTGCCTCTAGGGGCACACATGTGCCCCCAGGAGGGGAGAGGACAGCAGCTGGCTGGAGGGCACTCCCTTCCACCAGCACTCAGTCTGCACGGGGTGGGTGGGAGGGCTTCCAGGCTCCTGGAGGGTAGCCACGGGTGGAGAAAGGCAGGACTGGGGGCTCTAGGAGCTGCCCCGCCCATCCTAGCCCCACCCCTCTCAGGTGCACAGGTGGAGCGTAACTGCCACCTGCTGGGCTTCAGGCTGTCCTGCAGCCACCCGGCTGGCAAACGCAATGGGAGGGTGGACAGGGGGTGTGTAGTCTGCCTGCCTCTCTGGGCACCGCAGGACTGGGTTTGGTGAGTGTGCCCGTGAAGAAAGCACATCTGGTGAGGAAATGTCCCCTGACTCTGGCAGGGCTGCCTTGGGGTGACCGTAGGGAATTCCGTTAGCAAAGACGTCCTGTGACGTTGCTTGGAGCCGTCCTCACAGCCCTCTCCAGCCTGGTGTCCAGATGCTTGGAGGGGAGCATGCTGGTATACATACACCTGGGCTTGGCTCCGGCCCTGCGTGTATCGCTGTGTGACACTGAGCTAACCCTCCTCCCTGTGGGGCTGGCTTGGGAGAGAGGAGTATTTCGCCGTGCTCTGCAAGGACCTGGCTGGGGCGCGTCAGCAGAGCGCCCGGGCATCTGCTCTCACCCATCTTTACAGGAAGTCTGTAGATTTCCTACCACGCCTGTTGCCCAGGTGAGGTGAAGCACAGTGGCCCAGGAAGGGTGACTGGGCCAGTTAGGCAAGTGGGCCCTGGGGGGACTTGAACTCAGGTCAGTCTGTCCGAGAGCCAGCTCTGTGCATGCCTAGTCCCACCTGCGGGGCACGCGCCCTCCCTCCACTCGGGCTGCAGGAGATCTGACTGGCATCTCCTGTTTCCTGCAGGGCACTGTGGTGTCCACCCTGCACGTCTTCGATCCGGATGTGGTGCCAGCATCCGGGGAGCTCCTGAGGCGGTACACAAGCACGCTGCTCCCCGGAGATGCCTGGGCCCTCCAGACCTTCCGTGTGGAGCACTCACCCAACGAGACCTTGGTCCAGGCCGACGGCAGCTTCATTCGGGCAACGGTGCATGACTACAGTAAGAGGCTGGGTGCGGCCTGGAGGGCCCCAGGAAACCGGCAGCCCCTGTTCCTGGCCAGGGAAGCCCCCTGCACACACCGACACCTGGCCCTCTGGCCCCAGACAACCGTCTCTGCCGGGCTCACCACAGCCACCGTGGTGGTTTTTACAAGCTGCCCTCTCTTCCTGAGCTGCCCTGTGGCTGCCCCTGTCAGGGCCCCGTCACACCTCTCCATGCTGACCTTGCCTGGGCTCACTGCCCACTACAAACACACGTCTCGACAGGCTGCTGCTGTTGAGAGTTCTTGGCGGGGAGGGGACAGGAGGGCCAGTGCAGCCTGCCCAGGGCCTTCGTGGTGCCAGTCTTGACCTCTTGTGTGCCCACACATCACACACACAGTCCCAACACACACCACGCACACACTCACATACACACCTCATGCACATACCTCATACACACACATGCCACACACATACCCTACCCACATACTCCATACATACACACTGTACACGCACCCCCCACACACGCTGCACACACATGCTCCATACACACACACTGCACACATACATATCCTCACACACATACATACTCCATACATACCCTGCACACAGACACACACACACACACACGTTTCGTACATACAGTACTTTCCAGCTCAGTACCACAGCTAACATTTAAATAGGGGTTCTAACATATTGCCAGCCGCCAGGTCTGTTACCTGCCCGCCGTGTGTGTGTGTGTGTGTGTGTGTGTGTGTGTGTGTGAAGGTAAGTGTTTTCAACCGTGTGCACGTATGGGCAATGTATGCACCTGGGAGGAGGCGTGCAGTGGCCTGGGCCGTCATCACCGTGCCCCTCCCCGCAGGGCTGGTCCTCAACCGCAGCCTCCCCATCTCGGAGAGCCGCACCCTGCAGCTGGCTGTGCTGGTCAATGACTCCAGCTTCCAGGGCCCTGGGGAGGGCACCCTCCTCCTCCACTTCAACGTGACGGTGCTGCCGGTCAGCCTGCGCCTGCCCAGCGCTACTCCTACATACTATAGCAAGCGGGCCCGCCTCTTGCCCAG